GGGGGGGGGGGGGGGGGAGAAGAGCGGGGGAAGAGAGAGTTGAGTGTTGCGGAGTTGGAGGTTTTGTTTCTCTCCCTCCAGCGGAAGCTTCACACGAGCACACGGCACAGACTCTTTTGTTACCAAAGTTACTCCAACACCATTTTCTTCCCCCTCCCCCAAAGTGACACCATAAACCACGGAGGCGAAGGCAGGCAGAAACAAAACCAAAACACAGGGCGAGGACCCTGAGCCTCCGCGCCAATCCGACCCTACGCCTCCCGCGGAGCCAGGCACCGCACCGTTCGTGGAAACCACTTTCTCCCCTCAGACCCAGCCACGGTCTTTCCTCGCCATCCGGAGCCCAAGAAAAGCGTAGCAGACACGTCCCGTCTCGTCCCGCTCCCAGCCCACGCGCGAAGGAGCACCCGAGACCCGCTCCCACCCTTCCCGAACAAGGTCCGGCACACTTCTCTCCCCGCGCTCGGGAGCGCCGCACATACCCTCCGCTCTACACCCCGACTTGTAGCTTGCCCCCCTCCGCCTCTTCGATCTCTTCTTTCCCGCGCCGGGGTGAAGCTCCCCGGTCTCAAGCGAGGCCCCCTCTCTCATAAGCGGTAAAGTTACTTTGTGCGGGGCGTCTGCGCGCCCACCTCCCCGCCCAGTCAGGCTGTGCGGTCCAGCGGGCTGTACTCACTTCTCTCTGGCCTGGCTGTCGGACGGGACGCTGCTGTTGCTCTTGCCTTTGCCGTACATGCCTGCAGAGAGCTCCGACTGTCACGCACCTGTCAACCCATCACAGCCTCCCCAGGAACAGCCCAGTCACCATGGAGACGCCGCCACACACACACGCCATTGGCCCGCTGCGAGCTCGGACACACCTCCGCCATGTGATTGACACGCAGAGACCAGGACAGGCTGCTCTCTCCTCCTCTCCGCTGGCTGCCTCCCCCCACCAGCCTCCGGCTCCTCCTCCCCCTCCCGCTCTCCCTTCCCCGGCGCAAGGGGGAATTAGAAACGGTTCTAGAAGGATTTTAAACAACTGGCTGTTCCGTGCGCTTGCCTCTCCGCCCTCCGCCGCTGCCAGAGACGAAGACTACTGAGGAGAGATGGAAACTGCGGACTGGACTCCACCGCCCGCACCGCGCAGGACGGCTGAGGATTTTTCGTCCGCGTCGCACGCTTTCGTCGCCTTCTTCGCCCCGCAGCCCTGCAACCCGCTTAGCCAGCAAGATGCCTCTTCCGACAGACCTCGCCCCCTCCGTCTTTTCCGAGCAGAAAGGTTACCAGCCGCTGCCCCAATAAGTCAGACTTGATCAGCAGCCCTGGAGTCTCTCCCGCCACGACGGGGACACGTACGCCCGCAGCGAGCCAAACGTTCCCAGGGCTGGACGGGTTCCCACCCGCCCAGCAACAGAAGCCTCCTGCCCCGTGCCGGGGGCTGCCTTTCTGACCCAGTCCCTGCACCGAGACATGTTTTTCCAACCGACTTCTACACAGCCAGTGACACATCCTACAAATATTTGCAGGAACGTCCATGCCCTCAGCCTCCAGCCCTGAACAACCATCAGCGCTAACATTCTCAGGCCAGCGGAAATTGCAGCGGTGGTTCCCAAATGGGTCTACTCTACTAACACTCCCCCCCCCCCCGCAATCAGATTATACCAAATAGGTCTCTAAAGACACCACCGAGAACGCTATTGCATCATGCAGTGTGGGCACCCCCTGAAATCTGGAGCTCCAGAACCACGGAGGGCATTTCTGGATGAAGCTTCGTTAAACAGTTGTCCCACGTCCTTCATACACTTTCATGGAGGCCCAGTTGACATCACTGTCCATGTATCATTCTTCCATATTTTCCTGCTGATTCTTCTCTCTTTCTTACTGCAGGAATCCACTAAGAAGGAACAGACCGACTACCAGCACAAGGATTGGAAGTTCTAGGAGCCCTCGGTCTGGACCCACCTGAATCTCCTTGATGCACATGATTTGAATTGTGCAGCAGTGGTGTACAAACACAGATTATGTCATCTTATATGCAGCTTAAAGCTGGTTTATAATCAAAATATCTTGGATCATAAATCCCCATAGATTCATCTAATGTAGAAGCATCCACCCTTTTATCTTCCATGTCCACTGTTGATTACATTACAAACATCCAGAATGTTCTTGTGATGTTTTGTGAAAATGTTCAAATCCCAGATTCCCATAGTATGTATAACACAGACCCTAGAAATCTATTATAAGAATATATGCATATGTTGTTGCTGACAACAAAAGTAAAGACTTTGGGAATTTCCTTATGATGTCACAGTATTTCTTGGATATGCATCATGACTTTTAAAGCGTTATTAAAAGTATGGCTTCCTTTGACCTGAGCTCAGTTTCTAGTAATTACATTGACACATTCATGTTGTCAAAAATATGATTTGTCATTGCCTTTTTGTGGTATTTTGTTTTACTTCCTACTCTAATCCGTAGCTCTGAGATGTCCTGGTGGTCTCCCATTGAAGGTATACTCACCAGGTCTGACCCTGCTTAATTGTTTTAAGATCTGCCAAGGTCAGCTAAGTTCTACCATCTGGTATGACAAAATCAAATTAGTTTGATTCATGTAACAATTGTCCTACTTGGATGAAGCTGTTATCAGTCAGCAAAAACAAATGTCAAGAGCAAACATGGTAAATCCAACAAATTAACAAGCAACTTGTTAAACAAACTGAACTAATAAACATATATTGTTCCTAGATGCAGCATGAGCTCTACTAAAGTTTGAGAATTTCCACTGAATTCCCATAAGCAGGGATGTTGATGGGAATTCAGTTTTTGCCTTCTTAAAAGCCTGATCAGGCCAGACCATGTCACCAAGTTCAATATAAAGAAGATGGTTTTCCGTTTTTTGTATGCCAGATTATCATCTAAGTTTCTACCACGCGATGGTTACACTCCCTACAACAGCTTCCTTCTTGGAACCAAGAGGGCACTCTCCAAATAAATATTAAGTAATCTGATTTGAGAAATTCCACCTTGGCCAGCTCCAATGTTTTTAAGAGCAAACTGCTTCGCAGATTCTTACCGTGGTGGAGCCCTCGAGGAAGTAGCCCACAATACTACAGCATTTCAGTTCATTTTCAGGCCATTCTCTGTTATCTAGGATTCTTGCAAAGTGTAATGAAATAAAGGAATGCTTCATATATCCTTATGATTACCTTTGCTTTAATTCAAAAGACTTCAACTATGTACCCTAGTTTATACATTTAAAATGCAACTAGGCCATGGAGATGCTAGTAAAGAAGAGTTATCCGTGAAGAACTAAAACAAGCTTCTGATTTTGAAAACAGGGTGGTAAATCAAGTTGTGAAAATAATTAAACGTAGAAATTCACTAGAGCAAGTTTTGCTATGTAAACAATGAAGCATGGCTATATGGTGAATATGTCAAAATCTAAGGGTTTTGAGGATCTATTCCATCTTTTAAAAATACTTAATATGTAAAAGTAATATTTTTTTCACAAAGTAGATAGATATTGGAAAGTAAGTGTGTAAAAAGATCAGAGGCAGGAAATTACATTCCTATTCTGTCTCAGGGTAAAACAATTGAAAGGCTAGACTTGAAAAATGTATAGATAAAATAAACCTGGCCAAGAAATTATGTGACATCCCACCATAACTTTAAAATTCTTTATCAGTAAATAACTAGATAGGAGTTCTTTCATAGACATCATATACTTGTACCTTCAAAAAAGTTTTAGCTAACTCCTTCTTCAAAAATTCCTAAGAAAATTTAGTGATAAAGTAAGAGGATAAGTTTTTTATAGATTAGTAGCTGATTTCAAATGGAGAGAATTGTAGAGTTCCCAAAGAAAAAACAGAACTATGCTGTTTATATTTCTCATTGATAGAAGAAATGATTAAACCATGTTCAGTTACCAAATTATTCAGCCTGATGAAATCAGAGTAGTAAGATCTCCAAAGGAACTCTTCAACCTGGTTTTATAAGCAATAAAATGGCAGATGAGACTCAATGTTAGGAGGGACCAAGTATCAATACAGGTAGTCCTCAGTTAACTACGGTAAGTGGGACTGGAATTTCCATTGCTAACCAATGTGGTTGTAAATCGTGATTTCACGTGACTGCATCACTTAGCGACGGCAATCCTGGCACTCCGGGTTGCCATCATTAAGTGAGGGCCGTTAAGCAAGGACCTCGTCGCAACTTCCTGCTGGCTTCCAACAAGCAAAGTCAGTGGGGAACCCAGCAGAAAGTTGCAAGTCCCAGGTGGCATGCATGCAGGCTGGTGGGCAGGTAAGGGGCTGCTGCCAGGTGCACAAGGGTCCGCGAGGGGCTGGTGCAGCATGGCACAAGCGCGGCAGGGCTTGGGGTGGTTGCTGCAGGGTGGGGGAGACTTACCCAAGCAATTTGCAGCCTTCCCTGCTGGCTTCTCCATTGACTTTGCTTATGGGAAGCTGGCAGGGAAGGTTGCAAATGGCGATCACATGACCGTGGGACACTGCAACCATCGTAAGTGCAAGCCAGTTGCCAAGCACCCAGATTGTGATCACATGACTGTGGGGTGCTGGGACAGCCCGAACTTTAAGGACCTGTCGTAAGTACCACTTGTTCAGCGCTGTTGTAACTTTGAATGGTCGCTGAACAAGTAGTTGTTAACCAAGGACTACTTGTATATAAAAAGTGATGAAGACAATAAAAGATAAAAATGACAACTATATATTCACTGATAAAGCCTAATGTTATGGTTTCCTACCCAACAGAAATGTTAACTCAATAGTGCTATAATGTAGAGATTCAATTATTAGTAAAAGGACTGAAAATAAAACGAGTATCAAATTCTTATTAGATACTATGTTGTCTGCCACAGTTAGAATTCCATGTATAATTTGGATAACTTTGTCTCTTAACAGAGTGATATAGAGCTTTTACAGAGCTTTTAAGGGACCTGAAGAAAGCAACTGAAATTATAAATGAGCTGCACTATCTTTTGCACAAGGCGAGGCTAAACCAATGGGTGTATTGGGGACAGGGCCGTCTTTTGGCAGAACATGATAAAGGTTCTAACAGATATTACTGAGATGGTGGCAAAAATGCTGGACTACATGGAATTGTTTCTCATATCACTTACAGTCAAGTGAAAAAATATGTATCTTGGCCTTTATACTGTAGTTTGGCAGAAAGTGCATAATGAGGGCTAGGGTGTGTGTGTGTGTCCTGATGGAATGCTATGAAACTAAAGATTAGTTCATCAATTACTATATGCCATCTCATGGTTGATAAAAATTACTAGCTGCTGAAGGCTGTGCATTGACTGCCAATTAGCTACTGAGCCATTTTCCAGAGTGTGGATTGGCTTATAAAGTCCTAACAACTTTGGACCACATTATCTGAAGAGCTACCAACTTTCATAATGACCTGTTCGACTGGTTTCTCTGTTCTGTAGGAGATGGCTTCTGAGCACAGCCTGGTAACAACCATCTAGCTATGGTAAGGACTTTCCAAGAGTTAGATGGAGCCAACTGTGGAACTTTTTGGCCATAAACTAAACATAATCTCTTTGTTCTGTCCCTCTTTTAGTGTTTTTTTGTTTGGGGGAGGGAACAACAAAAATAAACACTTTATTACAATAAAGTGTCCCAAACATTCCCTGGGGCATTTGATTCTGAATGGCCTTTGGACAAACCCACAAGTCTTCTCTGTCCTTAACTGAAGAGATTATTAGGTAAGAAAAATCAACTTCTTATTCACACAGTTCATAATTAACATATGGGGTGTT